CGCCGAGATGGTGTTGCCAAAGCCGAGATGGTGTTCCCAAAGCCAGGACGGTGTACCCAAAGCAGGGACGGTGTTCCCAAAGCAGGGACGGTGTTCCCAGAGCCGGGACTGTGTTCCCAAAGCAGGGACGGTGTTCCCAGAGCCGGGACGGTGTTCCCAAAGCAGGGACGGTGTTCCCAGAGCCGGGACGGTGTTCCCAAAGCAGGGACGGTGTTCCAAAGCCCAGACGGTGTTCCCAGAGCCCGGCCGGTGCTCCAAAGCCCGGCCGGTGTTCCCAAGCCCGGCCGGTGTGCCGCACGCCGGGATCCCAGCGCCGTCCCGCCGCGGTGCCACGAGAGGGCAGCAGGGCCCCGCGGAGCGGCTGGGCCGGGGCTGCCCCGCGGGCCGGGACCGCCCGGGAGGGGCCGCGCCGCCCCCGCAGCGCCCGCCGGAGCTCCGCGCCCGCGTCCCGCAACCCCCGCCACGCTGAGCACCTGGCAATGGCATTCCCACCTGGCATCCGTGCCGCGAGTCCCAAAAGTCGCCTAGCGGTTCCTCGGGAGTAATCACTTGCCCAACCCACGCTGAGCTCCGCGACTGGGGTGTTGGTGGTTGTTTGCTGGTTTGGCTGGGGCGGTGTTTCCCCCTCATCCTTGAGCCCAAACCCTGGTTTGGGTTGGAAGGAACCTCAAAGCTCATCTCGTTCCACCCCCTGCCATGCGCAGGACACCTTCCACTGTCCCAGGCTGCTCCCAGCCCTGTCCAGCCTGGCCTTGGGCACTGCCAGGGATCCAGGGGCAGCCACAGCTGCTCTGGGCACCCTGTGCCAGGACCTCTCCACCCTCATTGGGAAGAATTTTTTTTCCTGATATCCCATCTAACCTTGCTCTGTGCCAGCCATTCCCTCTTGTCCTGTCCCATCCTTCCCACACACATGGATGGATATGCCAGTCTTACAACCCTTGGACACTGTGCCCATGCCTTCCTCGCAGCCCCAGCACTGTTTGCCCATCTCTAACAGTGGGCAGCATTAAATCTGTCCAAGCTCTTCACAGACCTGGTGGCCACTGCAGTGGCAATATCTCAGTGCAGGAGAAATTCCCAGGCAAACACATCTATTGATTTCCTTTCTAACTCCCTTTGGATGGATTTGCCAGCCAAAAGGGTATTATTCCACCAGGTGTAAACAGGCAGCCTGTGTCAGTGGGTGTGTCCTGGCCACAAGTCCCCACTGTCCTGCCTGTGGTGGCACTAGGTCTGTCCAGTGAAGACTGCTTTATGGGGAAGGTGGACCAGAATTCTCTCTTTCTTGCATAAAATGCAAATCCCAGGTCCTAAATCAAGTCCAGCTGAGCAGCCTGTTGGTGTTGGTGGGGTTAACCTGCTGAGCCTGTAGGAATCCCTACCTGGGTCTGTTCCCAGTCTTCTCTCTACAACTCCGGCTGGAGAGACTTCTCCTGTCCTTGTTCCAAGCATTTCTGCTCTTCAGGAGATATCACATCCTACCCCTGATATAGCTGCATTCTTGTGGCAAGTGGAATGGTTCCCAGTTTTGGGATGACTTGGGGATCTTTTGGAAGAGGTGTTGTATGAAATGCTGAGCCACTAGGAAACCCATCTTCTCCTGGGAGCTCTCAAGACAGGACAGCACTCCAGTACAAATTAGGCATTGTGCTGTTGGTTTTGTTGTAGTGGTGTTACCCTGCTCCCTCATGTCCATGCACCAGGAGGTGCTGCTGGTAATGCTGGAAGCATTTTCCCACATCAGCAACTGCTGCATCCTGAGCAGGGACCCCTTTGTGCAGGCACACACCTCGTGCTGTGGGACTGTAAAATCCTGGTGGAGCTCAGAAATGGAGCCAGGCACCCCAGCAGGCAAACATTACCTCTGCACACCCTGTTCTGCTCATCCTCCCTTTCTTACACAAGCTCCGATGCCTGGCACGAGGCTGTTATTTTATTTCTTTTGTGGTGGTGGTAGTTGTTTGTTTGTTTGTTGTGTTTTTGGAATTTTTGGTTGTTGTTTTTTTAAATCCATAATTCAGACAAAAAACCTAAAACTCCCACAAGTTGCTGTGATGTGTCCAATTGCATCCGAGGCTCTCTGCTCCCAAACAGATGTTGCCAGGGTTCAGCTGAGTTGCCAGCAGTGTTAGTGGCAGTATGTTCAGATTCAGGGGCTGATTAGGGATCCCCATATCCTCACTATTGCAGCTGAGTCTCTTCCTCTTCCCAGAAAGGACCTTGGGAGTGTCCTGGCAGCAGTCACCTGCAAAGCCCTTCCCCAGGAGTGAAGCAGAGACTTTGCAGGAGTGTCCTGGGAGGTTATCCTGTTCTATATAGGTAATAAAAGCCAGGCTGAGCCTACAAGAACTTGTGGGGCTTCTCCCATTCACTGCTGAGCCCTCTCCTTGCACGCAGGGAGCTGAAGAGAGAACCAAAACTCATGTTAGATGTAGGGCAGGGGGAAATGGAGGGACCCCAATCCCATCTTCACAGGCTATAGTTGCAATGGCAGGTGCAGGTGTATGTTTTGGAGGGAAAATACCTCTCAGATCTGAAAACCTCCTCTGTGAGATGCCCTGAGTGATGAGTGGGGGATGTGGGTGGGATGAGAGGGAAGTTCTGTGTCCAGCAAGGAAACCTCCAGCTTTCTAGGGATGAGGCATCTGAGGAAGCAGATGAGGAGCATCTCCTCCTCACTGCCTCTCTGGCTCTGGAGGAGCTGGCTCACAAGCAGGGTGTGCTGCTGGTGCTCCCAGATGGGTTCCAATAGCAGAAATAGGGGGATTATTTTGTTAGGGCTGTGTGCAAGCACCTCAAACACATCCCACAAAAGCTACCAGGAACTGCCATCCAGTGCTGATGCCATCTAAGTGTTTGGATGAGAGCTGGCAATTTGACAATGCAGCCAGTTTCCCTCTGCTAACCCACATGCTATTTCATTTTCCTCCTTTGGAGTTGTACCCAGAGCCCTCATACAAGGGAACACCATAGATCTTTGTCAGTCTGCAAAGGAATCCTTTTCCCCAGTGCAGCTGGGATCTGTTCTAAAGAGGATTAACTGCAGACAGCCAATTCCACCTCAGCCACGAAGAGCTGCTCTGCTCACAGGTCTGCCATGAATCACCCAGCTTCGTGGTTAATCTGTCACTGAGCCCATGGCTGCTGGGGAAGGGCAGCTGTTCTGCTCACAGTTTTCTACCTTACCTCATTTTCAGAACTCTGGGCCTTCCCCTGTGCAGCTCCACCTGAGCACTGCTGCTCCTGAAATGGCTTTGTTCCCACTGGTTGGATTATAGTGATCTATAATTCTTAGCTATAAGGCCAATAATTCAGAAGGAAGGTTTGATATCCTGTTGCCAGTAATGAGATGACTGATTCCACTGTCTTTTTAGTGTTCATGTCTTCCTTAAAGCATGGCTCCAAAACTTCCTTCTCCATGAAGGATCTCTAAAGCTGCTTCAGCTCTGGTGAAGAAGCTTTGCAGCCCAGAAGTGTAATTATCTCCTTTCTCTTCTACACATACTTTAGTAGTGATGTTAGAAGATGCTACTCTAATTGACAAATGAGAGGAGGCTCATGGTATCCCCCCATAAATTCCTTCTTTTTCTGCCACCCTGTTTTTCAAGGCTTCATGGCTTTCCCTTTTTGTAAGACTTGAAGTTGCCTGGAGCTGATCTTCTAGAAAATAATCTCTCCAAGAAGCAGCTGCAACTCCTGTTTCCCATGTCTGTGTACACCAGTGTCTCCCTAGATGTTGAAACATCTCCCTACAACCTTCTTTTAATTTATCTTAGCAACTGCTCCCCTTTTATTCCACTAAAGCACGGGTTGGTTGGAATTTGCTCGTTGTCCCCGTGACAGCTTTGATCCTGTGCACAGAAGTGTTCCCTGACAGCCAGACAGCAGGGAAGGGCTGTCCCTACCCTCGAGGGCTCTGAGAGTCATGAATGAATGCTGTTTACTTGTATTTCCAAATGGCTTGTGCCTTGCCAGATCAGCTGCATGTCACTGCAAGCCGAGCGTGCTGAGACAGCCCTTGCTCCTCTTCCACTCCTCTCAGGACTGGGAATTTGTTGCTAGAGGCAACAGCCATAAGATGAAGAAAGCCTTTTCTTCTGTAGGTCTGTCACCAGGTTATAAAAGTTGGGCCTTCTTGGTTCAATCCAGCTGTAGACAAAGATTTTAAGTGGAAGTGCACAGGGCAGGCATTGGAGTCGTGTCTCCTTTGTTCAAGTGTGATACTTCCCTTGGCCTTGGCAAGTTTTTGGACAAACACAGAACAAGGTAAAGGTTCTCCAGGTTTATTGTCTTGTGCTTAAGACCACCAGGAGGTTTCCCAGTGGATTTCAAAGGCCTGAATGTTTCCTAAAAGCAGTGTTGGCAGTTTGGTTTTGGTAATGTCTCCATCTATTCTCCAAGCAGTGAGTTTGTTCTCGTACCTGCTTTTCCCCACTGCCAAGGGGCTCCATCCCTCCACGTAGTCCTTTTGCAGCCTCTTTGGATCCATTTCAGCGCCCTGGATAATGTGTCACCCACAAGAGTGACCTGAGGACCACAAGGACTAGAGGGGGCTGGTGTTAGGGTGGGGATAAAGGGCATTCAGCTCCTTGGCCTGGTCCCTTTGGGGATTTTTCTCTTTGGCAGGGATTTTGAGGTGATTTTGTCTCATTTTGGAGCACAGAAAGTGGACATGCAAGTTAGAAAAAAGAAGAACATGAGTTGGAAAAGAGAAGAGCAATCAGTTTTGTCAGTTTAGATCTGAGAGGGGACTGAGTGAGGTCACAGAGGTGGGGCTGGCCTCCGTGCTTGTCTAGGAAAACTCACACTTCCAAGGAGTGACCTGCAAGTCCCATTTTTCTCCTTCTTTCCTTGTCTTTTCTTTTTTTCCTGCTTCCACCTGGCCTACACCTTCAGCAGCTGCATTTATCCTGGCTGCAGTACAGTTTGGCTTTGGGAAGAGTCCTGAGCTGAGCTTTGTTTAATACTGTTTGGTTTCTCCCCTCTCCCTAACCCAGAAACAACTGAGCTTGGGAACAAGAAGGAGCTGAAATCCATGCCCTTCATCACGTACCTGTCAGGCCTGCTGACGGCACAGATGCTGTCAGATGACCACCTCATCTCGGGTGTGGAGATTCACTGCGAGGAGAAGGGGCGCTGCCCCTCCACCTGCCACCTGTGCCGGCGGCCCGGCAAGGAGCAGCTCAGCCCGACCCCGGTGCTGCTGGAGATCAACAGGGTGGTGCCTCTGTACGCTCTGATCCAGGACAACGACACCAGGGAGGTGAGTGACGGGCCAGCCCCACTCTGTGACCTCACTCGGTCCCCTCTCAGATCCCCTCCTGCAGGTTCCCTGGAGCGAGGGGGGTGTTTTGGTGTTTTCATGTGTGGGATGGTGTCAGGGATGGAGCTGGCAGGTCCTGCTGCCCACAGCCCTTTCAGACCTGCATCTCCCTGCCTTCAATAGGCTCAAGGCAATGCCAAGGCCACAGTCATTCCCAGTGTCCGTGCTGGTGTGCAGGATGTGTCCTGTGGAGAGGTCTCAGGAACCAAGCACCAGCTCAGTCCCTCACTCCTGGCTCCAAGGTCCAGGACATACCTGTTTGGGGGGTGGCCAAAGTCCTCCAGGGCTCCAGCCTAGCTTTGCAAAGGTGCAGAGGGAGGGAAGAACCATCCCCTTGGGACAGTCCCACAGCCACAGGAGGTCCCTGTTACTCCAGGAGAGACCAGCCAGGCTGGAGGTCACTGGTCGCTGGGGCTGGGCTCCTGCAAGAGCTTCAGTGTTAATCCTGTCGAGATTGAGTTCCCACTTTCTCGGTTCACTGCCACTCCCAACCCCCTCTGCAGCCCTCTGACCCCAATCTCAAGCCCAGAAATGACAGACCTGCTTAAAGTCACTTATTGGCACTGAGCCTGTACTTGATTAGGATGTCTCCAGTGAGCCAGCATGCAGCATCTGTGGGTGGGCTGCAGAGGGCTGCAGGTCAGGAAACAATCCTGGCATGTGGAGGTGTGAGCACCAGGAATGATGCTTCACCCCCTTCCCACATTCATGGGGAGAATAGTCCTCGTGCTTCTCCCGGTACCCAAATTTCTGGGTGCTGTCTGTGGGGAGTCACTCCTTGCCTACCTCTTGATCTGGTTCCCGCTTTCCCATCTCTCAGCTCTCTTGCTCCTTGCATGAAGCCATGCCTGACTTCCACACCTCAGTTTGCCTCTCTTTCTGGGTCTTTTCCTCAAGCTCCCTTTCTCCCACTGTGTTTCCTTCCTGCATTCTTTCCCCCACCCCGTGCCTGCTCTTCCCACTGGGCTGGGTTGGCCTGCTGTTGTCAGCGTGTCCAGGGCAGTGCTGGGATGAGGCACTGCAGGTACAGGGAGAGCAGTGGGACAGCTGGCTTCCTTCAGGCAAGAAAGATGTGCTTCCCAGCAGCAATCTGCCAAAAGACATTCTTTTAGGGATATAAGAGGTAGGTTAGCCAGCAACGAGGGGATAACAGTGAGGAGCCCAGCAGGATCTGAAGGATTTCCATGGACTTTGCTCACCACCAGGTCCCCTGCATTGCCCTGTGCCCAGGTGACAATGCCACCCTGCCTCTCTGGGCCTGGCTGCAAACTCCCCCCTTCTTCCTCCTCCTCATCTTCCTCCTCACCTGCCCCCCCGCCATCCTGCCAACACTGCTGGGCTCGCTTGGGGTGCCTCCTTGTTCTGAGGAGCGGTAGTCTGTTCCATCAGCAGCCTCCCTTCCTCCCTCCTTCCCTCCCTCCCCTGCTCCCCTGGCCCCATCAGCTGCAGCTGGAGCTCAGCCCGCATTGTGCTTCCTGCTGAGGCGCTGGGAAAAGCAGCAAACAAACAAAACCCCAACCACACCAGAGACACCCCAGCAATATTCCCTGGGGTTGTGCATCTCTCCTCCTCTTCCTCTTCCACCTGCTCGCCCAGGGGTGGAGGGGCATGCCCTGGGAGCCTGTCCCTGTGTGAGGTTCTGTGTGTGAGTCTCCCCTCACCCCAGGGAGCTGTGCATGGGCAGGGCTGGGGTAAGAGGTGACAGGGTGAGGGCTCTGGGCAGCTGCAGCGTGGAGGGGGATGCTGCCAGAGCAGGCACTAAGGGAGCTGGCAGTGAGCAGCATGTGCCAGGACAGGTCACTTTGTGCCATCCACAGGTGCTGGGGTGAGCAGCAGGTGGGATCATGCTGTCTTGTCTTACCACCCCCTCCTTAGCTGGATCTGGTTGTGTCAGCTGTAGGCTTCTCTTGACAGCAGGCCCTCTCATCCCTTCCTCCCTACAACCCATCCCAGACCATTCCCATCCTTGCTCCAGCAGGACACAAGGGAGTGTTTTCTGCCTCCCCTGCACCCATTTCTTAGTCATTCCCATTCTCTCTGCATGAATCCCTTGTGTTGCATCAGCTCCATCACTTTCCCCTTCTTGCTCACTTCTGATGTGCTGTCTTCTCCCTCCATCCCTTCACTCCAGCTTGTTTCTCCCCCTGCTCTCTACCAGCCTCTCTTCTGCAGGACTTTTATTCTCTCCCTCTCCCTCTCCTTCTCTTGCTGTCCTTGGCACCACAAGCAGGGACAAATCCTGGTTCCTGAAGGCTGAAATCCACCACTGCTGAGGAACTTGCTGCCACCTCGGCACAAACCTTGGTTCTCCACATTGGAAGTTTTTCCAGGCAGCCTGGGCTGGGCAGAGCTGTAGGTTTCCTCTCTGGAGGAAGTGGAGCTCGTGGGGGCCATGTCCCTATCCTGGAGAGGATGGTTTGGTTTAGGGTTAGTGCTGCCTCTGTGGAAAGGTGTCCCCATCCTCTTGTGGCACCATGAGCTCGAGCATAGTGGATGCTTATGGAGGGCAGGGGCATTGTCTCTCCCTCAGCTTCCCCTGTGAGCAGGGAGGGTTACCATGAAAGGGAAAGGGATTTAGGGGTGGTAAGGAGCTGCCACCACCATGGGGACATCAGCCTGTCAACCAAGACCCAGAACACCACCAAGTTTAATCGGTGACTGTACTCTGTACTGAGAGACTCCCACAGGTCATGTCCCACCAGGAGCATTTCATGTATCATCTGGATGATGAAATACCCACTTTCAGCATCAAACAGAGGCCAGGCACTGCAGAGTGGCGTTCTACTGTGCCATAAATAGGATTTCCACTTGCCTGGGCTGAACCAAGTACAGCATCTCCAATCCTGAGTGCTCCATTGTCTGCTTTTCTCCCTTCATGGAGATGATTCTCAATCAATACAGTGAGTACTGACCTTAGAGGAACTGCAGGCACATCCCAGCTCCTGTAGTGTTAAAAAAAAAGAAATTGTAAACACTCTACATATGTGTCCACAAAGACAATGCTGTACAGACAGATAACAAGGTCATTAGCAAGATGGATTATTGACTTCTAGAAACTTGGCTGCAAGTTTTCCTGTATAAGCTGAGCAGCAAAGATGAAGCAAAACACAGGTAGAGACATTTTGCCCTCTTCAGTGTGTCTGTTTTTTAATAGGTTTGTCTTTTCATCTGCCTTAGTGGAGTGAATTATGAACTTTTCAAAATTTACAGCTACAGCCCTGTCCAAGGCCGTGTTCTCGGTTGCTGATGACCTTGCCAGACTCTTAAGTGCTGGAGTTTCAGTTTCCATGCTGGGTGTCTGCTGCGGACTGATTTGTGGTGTTTCTTTGTGTGCATGTTGGATTTCAGCTAAAACTGACCATTTCCAAGCAGGAGATGAGGTGAAAATATATTACTTTGCCCACGTGAAATGAGCTTAAAAAGTCTTTATTTCCATGTCAGTGGGAATTGCTGTTTTCTTCTTGCTTTGAAGCAAGGTCTTGAAATGTAAAGGGCTCCAGGAGTTTTGCCTTTTGCTGTCCAGGGAGAATTTGTCCAGAGGAAATGTCCTCAAGGTAACTCTCAGCTCTGTGTGATCTGCCCTCCCAGCCCAGCTCCAGCACAACTCCTGCTCCCAGCAGTGGGGAGAAACAATCTGAGTATGAGGAAAAGTATCAGGCCCCTCTTTTCCTTCTTGTATGCAGTGAGAACTATGCACTGAGATCCTGCTAGGAGTTTCTTTGTTTCCCCTGTGGTTTAATAGTGTTGGCCAAAGAATTTGTACCATCACTGGTCACTGCAGCCTGGCTGGGGACTGTGGCAGTGCTGGAGCTTGCCAGGGTGAAGGAGATATTTTTGGAGGTTCAAGCAGCTCTTGAAGGACTTTGTTGAATGTCTTTCCTGGTGTGGCTGTGGGTGGCAGGTTTGACAGGAAGGACTCTTGCTGGAGCAGAGGCAGTGCTGGAGTCCCCCCTGCACCAGTCCCAGTCACCTGGTGAGATCCAGCTGATTCAATTCTACAGGACCATTGCTGTCACAGCTCCAGTGCTCTCAGTCTGAGTGCTCACACTGGGACTTCCAAAGGTGTAAAGAGACAGAGAAGCTGTGACCTTGGCTGTCATCTCCCAGGGACTTCTCTGGAGCTCTTTGGATCCTGCATCAGTTTTGATCAGTGCCAGCATCTCTCTTCTGCTTCCTTTGTGCTCTGCAGCAGTGCAGACATCACAGTGGTTCCTGCACATGAAGCTGGAGGAGATTCTCCACTGCAGGGCTGTGGAGGAAACCTCCACCAGTGTCAGTGGCTGGCCATGCTCAACAGCAAAGAGCTTCTCTCTGTGGTGGGGCTTTCTGCTGGCAAAATGCTCTCAACACCTCAAGGGCTGGATGCTGTTCAGTGCATGTGGTGGGAGAGAAGAGAGAGGTGGTGACTCCAGCTGCTTTCACTTTGGGGAACATCCTAGAGTCAAAGAGAAAAGCTGCTCCTCACCCCAATCAGAGTCCCCTCAGGTTATGGTGACTTTCCTCCTCCACCTTAAACATACTTCTGCCAGCCCTCTCCCCATAGGGTGGGCATCATCTTTCTTACTGCCCAGCACAGCCCTGGAGTGCACCCAGAGGCACAGACTGGGAGTGAGAGCACAGGTGTGCATGATCTGCAAACGTCCTTGTCCCTCACAGGAAGGCAGGGAGCACCCTGCTTCCCCCATCCCTCCCAGGAGCATCCTTGACAGGGATGCACATCTGCATGTCCAGGGCCACGGGGCAGCCGTGGCCAGTGGAGGGGAGAAAAGGCAAGGTATGCTGGGCAGTGTGGTCCCTCCTGTTTGTGGTCTGTTCATTTTTCCCCCAAAAAACCCTGAAACAAGCTTCTGTGGAGCAGCTCAGCCAGCTGCAGAAATGCTTAGAGGGTGGTGTGGTGAGGGGGGTGTGGAGAAGGGAGGCAGGAGAGATCAATCTCGCTC